CTAGAAAAAACACTGTCTTGCCCATCGCGCTTGGCGTACTGGTCGAGCAGCTTCTTGAATCTGTCTTGAATGTGTTTTCCCGTGACTTTGTGCGCGAAATTTGGGTTTGCGTTGGCTTTCAGAGCTGCGGTCTCGAAGCGGGAGAGCGTCTCCCCATGCGGGGCTACATGGGCCTTGGAGGCGAAGACTTCTTGCGCCATAATTTGATCTTCTGTGCCCGTAAATTGGGACTTGCGACCCGGCTTGAACTCTGGACGACGAATGTCTGTAGGGGTGGAAACAGGCGTCCCTCTTGGTGACTTCTCGGGGGTGCTTGGAACGTCCTCAGGGGAAACAACGGTAGCCATGGCGCGAGGGGAGCAGAGGCTGATGTGTTTTTTGGCGTGTGCTGGTTTTGATGTGCTTGCAATTGGTTTCCCGCCCGCTGTGTTTGTGAAACGACTTCACAAACGCACCATAATTCACGATTGCTCGCCAGGCTTCATTTGTGAATTTCACAATTGGCTTTCACACGTGGACAGGTATTGAGAGAAAAACGAAATTCATTCACCATATTTGGGAGCTTACGCTACACGACAATTCTGTGAAAATCCTTTCAAATATTATGCACACGTGTACCAAAAATCTGTCCACTATTTCGCTCATGATGTATTGTGGTAACAAACGCCGCAGATCAGCATGGGAGTAGTACAGTCAACCCCTTTCACAACTATGAGGCAAAAAGACTACTCTCTCACCAAATGCAGAGAAAGAGCGTCGCTCTTTCGTGCTGCACTGGCGGTTATTGCTAAGCGACATGTCACACACACCCGCTCACGTTCCGCATTTACATCAAAGCCCGCTTTTGTCTGTGTCGCATGGCGATACGTTGCAGCACAACGTCAGGTTCAATTTTTGTTAGACAGGTCAAACCGTATCTCTACTACTAAATTTTGGTTCAACTTCAATCGTTTTGGAGACCACGAAGCCTTACAGGACTTCCGCTTTCGGGTTGAAGACATCAAAAAGATAGTACCCATTGTAGGGTGGCCTTCATCTCAACATCACACTACTCGTAACAGGTATGGTGTCAATCCGGTGCTTGCCACATGCATAATCCTCAGACGCATGGCCGTGCCCGACCGTTGGGAAGATCTAGCATATTTATTCGGAAAACATCCCTCCCAGATGTCGGAAATATTCTGGGAAGGGATGGAAACATTTGTGCAGGGGCAAGGGCATTTGTTGATGGGGCCTGTTCCACAGCAGTACATGGACAAAAGAGCTCAAGACTTTAGCCAAGCCATCAGTGATAAAGGAGCAGCAATGCAGAATTGTGTAGGGTTTATTGACGGTACAGTGGTTGGCGTAGCCCGACCTAAGGGCTACATGCGGCAGCTCGTAGTATACAACGGGCACAAAAGGAAGCATCCATTAAAGTATCAGGCAGTCAACACGCCCGATGGGATGATACTGCACGCGTATGGCCCTGCCGAGGGTCGTCGTCATGACTGGTTCCTTTACGCAGCAAGCGGTTTGGAATCTAACATGGGTGAGATTCTGGTTGTGAATGGTGCGCAGTACAAGATCTACGGTGATTCAGGCTACAACTGGCGCGTCTTTATGGAGGTCCCCTTTCAAGGAAGTGCGCTCAATACGCACCAGACAGCTTTCAACAGCTCCATGTCGGGAGTGCGTATTACGGTAGAATGGATTTTCAAGGAACTCAAAATGTATTTTCCGATTATTGACACGAAGCGCAAGATGAAGCTGTGTGATTCACCGGTCGGGCTTCTCTACCTAGGAACTATGCTGATGTGCAACTTTCGAAACTGCCTGTACCCCAACCAGATATCCGAATACTTCAAGGTCCGCCCAAGCACGTTGGATGAATACATTCGGGAGAGGGGTGGGCTTCTTGAGGAGTGAAGAACAAAGTCCTTTCCCGGCGAGCCGTAGGCGAGCGAAAGGGAAAAGCCCCGCAGGGAAACTCCAGCGTTCATTAAAGCTGCATTAATACGAGAAGCTCCAACTTACCTCATCCCATCTTCTCCCTTAACATGTCAAACATAATCTTAAACTTCTCCAGCTCTAGCTTTTGTCCATCCTCACGCTCTTTCCGTCGCTCTTCACGTTCCTTCTCCCGCTCTTCCAGCTCTTTCGCATACTTTTCCTTCTGGAAGGACAGTTGATCCACCTCAAGCTGAATCTGGGCCAGATCCGCTTCCTTCAACTGCGCACCGAACATCTCCAGCTCTCCACTAACGTCCGCGATACCTGTCTGGCGCGTCTTCTGTCTCTTCCTCGCGCTGTTCCCACCCACATTACCTCCTCCGCTGCTCCCACCACTGCTACTTGCCTCACCTTCATCACCTGAGATGCTTCTCTTCGATTTCCGACAAAGTGCCATTTCGACAACGCGTCTGCCCATAATCTCCTTCTCCTCTTCTCGCTTGGTCTTCTCATTCTTATCGGCTTTCTTCTCGGTAAGAAACGTATCCCTCTCTTCTCGCATTTGGGATAGGGCTTCATAAAGATCTCCCATCTCCCCTCCCGCAATCCCGGACAGACTGCTGTTTCTTCTATCGTCCGCGTCGAAGTCCTCCTGTAGTCGCTTGTATCTATCTTGTACGACTTTCCAGTTCACCTTTTGCATCATGTGAGGGTTCTGATTTACCCTTTGAGCCACACTTTCGAACGACTGCTTCATGTTGCCGTAACCAGCGACATGTGCCCGTAAAGCGGCCACTTCACGAACGATTATTAGGTCCTCCTCCGGGAGATACTTCCCTCGTTTCCTAACACCTCGCGATCCATCATCGTTGCCGCTCACGTCCAAAACCTCTGCCATCTCACTGAACGGTTGATGGTCTGCTAACCGGTACCGATCCTGCACCAAGAAAAGCAACTGTACCTACAAATTGCGCCAAAACGTAAACACACTTGTCTTGAAATTTAGACAGAATTGTCGTGAGCAACAAGTCACTATTCCGCCTCTCTGCTCACGTCGAGACCCAGAATTCTGTGAGCACTGAAAGCGCTGTAATGTTTTGCGCGATTTTTCACTCATATTTCTCTCATGAACGGCAGCGTAAGCTCCCTATTTTGATTGCGTAAATACTCTATTAAGGAGCCGATTTTCTGATCTTAAATTCTTAAATCTGGCTGCCTGTTAGGTAAAAAAATAATACATAAAATCATTCGCTGGCACAGTAAACTTTACAGTATCAGGATCTACGACCAGACGAATCCTGTCCCCCAGGAACCTCAATGTACCTACCATAACATGCCTTTTACTGGATTCGAGATTCGTATTGAGCCAGAACAGTCCAATCGCACCAAACTCTATCCCACCGGTTGGAAACTCAATTCGCAATGCACCAAGTCCATTTTCATCGTCAACTGCTATGGTCTACGTGCAAAACGCCAGTGTTGAAAAGTGACTTTGCATGAGGCCATTTTGTCTCTGCATTTTTGGGATCGGAAGTCTGCCTATGAACCTCGAGCTTTTGTTGTTCATGCTACAACATATCTGAGCAAACTCATGGCTTGTGAAGTGAGCGGCCCGCTGACTTTCATAGAGATTAACCCAAACTCAGTTGTGCTGGTCACGAGCACCAGCTTCATGATAAACAATATGGAACAGTCTAATGTCTAGGTGACAAGTGTCCATGGATGAGGTCACTTTCAACATTCTTTTTGCGGACATTATTGACTCAGCAAAAAATGGAAGGGACCACCGCCACTGAAATTGAGTGTTGCGTTGAGGTAGACCAAATCCTTGTGAGAACTATCCGTCCTTTCTAATATTCTTTTATGAAACTTTGGCGAGAAAACGGTTTTCACACATACCTGAAATCCTTGTTTCAAGTCTTGTTTCTGTATTGTCTTCGAATCCAAGTACGGTATACGGTTACCGATTGCAACCCACGTTTCAGCCCTGCTGAATTCTTCGTCTTCCATTGTGTTTAAAACAGTAATCGCGATATTACAAAATATATTAATGCCAGCGGCAAATACGTTCTGGAAATGTTGTCCTTGTTGACTTACAGAACTAGGGAATTAACTGACATGTCTTCGCGGCAAACAAGACCGGCCGCATGCAGTACGAGGCAAATCGCATGTCGTCTGGCGTCTAGTCGTCAGTTGCCCTCATGTGAGGCATTTTAAATTTTCTCATGATCTTCTGGCGCGTTTTGCATTCCGTTTCTTGGAAAATGAAGTCGAGAATGTCTAGTAGCGTGTCTCTGAACTACTTCTTGATAAGATCTCATCATTTTGTCGTGGAAAATCTCTCAACCACCCAATTCGCATAGTTATCATACCTTAGTCTACTATTTTAATAAACATAGCCTTCTCGGCTTCTCCGAGATGTACTTTGTGCAACCATAGAAGACTGAAGAGCTGCAAAAATCGTTATCATTTATAACAAAATAGAAAGAGTAGCAGGGCGAGCCAACATGAATAAAAACTACAGATCTTTCAGGATATAATAGCTTCTGACGAGTAGACAGCAGACCAGACTTGCTATAGGGTGTGTGTGATACAAGTCCAGACGAAAAGCGATTGCCTCATGTGGGGCCAGCTTTTTTTTTTGCAGAAAAGGATACATGAAATCGCATTATGGACACTTTTCCCTAAACGTAGTTGCACTCGGCAAAAACATTTTGCAGAACACTGGGATAGCAGTTTTGAGTACACCGATTGCTGGGAATCTAACTGAAGTTTAAACACTTAGTTACCCTTTTAAATCGGCGCTTTGGTTTCGAAGTTATCAATATATACGGTTTCAAGGTTGCGCAAACTGCTTCTTTGCCAGGCATTTCGAAAAACAACCTAAAACATTTTCTCACGCAGCGCAGAACTCAAGCGTGATGGCAAGGGTATCTTTCTCCTTCTTGTCTAGAAAGCACAAGTCCAAAAAAAAAGTGGAAAAGCAACCACGTATGAGGTTCCTTGTCATTAAGATACTAGGTTATGGGAAAGTGACATATGAACGAAAAAGTCAATTATCCTTAGCTTCATTCCCTCGCCGGAGATTCGTGGGCGGGCACTCGATTCCGTCTTTCCCAGTGCCTGCCTTTAGTTCTTTCCCTATCTCCCGTCCCATATGATTTATGGATGGCAAAGATACAACCACCCGAGTTTGGCGTGACCTCTACGACAGCTTCATTTCCGTACATCTCAGTGACTGCATGCTTAAAGTGAGATGCCCGGTCCTTCGGTACCAAGTTGATAGTGTACCCACCCCAGCCGGCCCCTGTCATCCTACTACCAACTGCTCCACTTTTTCTGCAGAAGTCCACGACTTGGTCGACCTCAGGGCAACTCGATTCAAAAACTTCTTTGAGGGATGTTTGTCCTTCATTGAGAATTCGACCAAACTGTTGCAGTCTGACCGATGGAGCCGAATTATGATCCATGGACACTCTTACAAAATCTTCCACTCTTACTGCTTCAGAGAAGACATGAGACATTCGTCTGCCGACTTCAAATATACTCCCTTGAACACCCATCACGAATCGATTTTGCAATTCTATTTCGGCAAGGCCCAGTTCTTGCCTTACCTCAGACAAGGATAGAATTTCGTCATTTTGCATCACCTCAAAGGCAATCGTCCGTAGTTGTGACATGGACCGGCATTTCAAAATCGACGTTTTGCAGGCTTGAAACAGCAACTGGCCAGGAGTCGTTACGGATTTGCATAAATGCACTTTCAATCGCCGTGCAAGTATTGCTGCACCAATTCGACATTCAGCCGCGCGCATGTTAAATTCTGACCTCACCCGATCATCGAAGCCTTTTTCCGCCCTCACTCCAGAGTTGACAGCAAACAGGGCTACCCCATCAGGAATTTCTACCTTGTCAATGACTACGTGGGGTGTGAAGGATATTTTTAGAGCGCTTTCTCGCACACCACACAAACTTGTGATATGATCAACAGCACCGCCTTTCGTACCAGCTCCATCGCGCTCGGCTCGTGCAGCCAAGAGCGCAATCTCTTGCTTCGGGATTCGCTTCCTATTCAACCGTGCCGCTACCAGAGCCGATCCTGCTACCAATGACGAGCTCGAAGACATGCCACCGGCTCTCGGCAGATTCCCACCAACGAGCAGCCGGCCACCTCCAGTCACTGTTCTTTTGCTCATAGGAAGACTCTCCACAAGGGCTTTGATCCCCCATGATACGTACTGAAGCCAGTTTCTGTCAACCAGTGAGACCTTCTCATCCTCGGAGACAGCCATCCTCGTCCCACTATTCCGAAACATTCCAGGTCCGTAGCGACTATTCTCGACATGACAGACTTCAATGTGCTCTGTGCTATCCAGGCAACCTGCGAACATGGTGCCTTGCGTAGTCGCTAGAGTTATCACCGGCAGTCCGTTGTAATCCAAATGTTCCCCAATAAGAATTACACGACCTGGTGCCCTCGCAAGAAACGAAGGCTCCTCTCCGTACCGCACTTGAAACTGTTCCTTCATAGCCTTTGCAAGCCGGAAGGTCTCTTCGTCTGGAACATCAAGGAATGCACGCATGTTTGTCTTAATTGGATACAACGAGGCAATATGTGCTCTCCGCTGCTCCTCACGCCCATCGTCGGTTAAAACAAATTTCTCGTGTAACTTTCCGATCTCGTCGGCGTCGTACCGTTGTTTCTGATGACATGTTCTGACCCAGGTTTCAAGAATTCGTTCCAGTCTTTCTCTTTCTGCAATTTTCTTATAAATACGCTCCAACTTGAACTTTTCCTTCGCTTCCCGAAATTGGTCAACGGTTATAGGCTTTTCCAAAACAGATTGATGGCGTAAGTTGTAGTTTTCAAACGTTAATGTATCCAACAGCAAGCCCAGCGCAGGCGCCATTGGAGTTGGAATCTTCATGTTAGGGCATAATGCAACCGGGATAGTCTCCTCGGGTGCGTGCCCCAAATGAATAAAAAGAGCCAAACCGACCATTTTACGAATCTGATGCAATAGAAAGCTTTGGCCGTAAACCTCAACAGAAACGTAATATACGCCCGAGTTAGGCGGAAGAAAGGGCTGACCGCATCGCACTCGAATCATGAAACGACGCGATGAATCGTCTTTGCCAGTCAATCCGTCGGTAAAGCTTGCAAAGCAATGCGTGCCTTCATACCGCTTCAAGATATTAGTGAATCTAGCAGCGCGGGGATCGCCAGCCCCTGGTTCTTCCTCCTTCATGACTTCGTTCGGCCCGCCAAGCAACCTTACAGGGAACATGTATTCATACCGACGGCGGTGGCAGTCCATACGGGCGTTAAATGCGGCTGTAGCACGCATGAGACCGTAGACCATGACATCAGCAGGCAAGTGATGATTGATAGCTTCGACAACACCAGGGGCAATATTCTTCTCCACCTCACACTCAAGCTTGGCCGAAACGCATTGTCCTGCCGCCGAAACACCTTTGTCAGTGCGTGCAGCGCGCATCCAATTAACCTTGGATAGCGAATCCTTATTCGCCTCAGATATCAAGCCGGCCCGATAAAAAGCAGAAAGCAAGACCTGCTCAATTGTAATTACGCCGGGATTCATCTGCATGCCATAGTAATTCTCGCCAATGTATCCCAGAAACACAGCAACCTTCCTCTTCCTCCTCTTCGGGTGCTGAACCACCTCCTTAGTCACGTCATCCAGTGCAGAGTTTTGTGGGTTAACTTGTGTGGCCCCCTGTTGCATAGCTCTTGTCGGCGGCGGGATGGCGCGGGCCTCACGGCGCTGCTTCTTGTCAACGCGGCGACGCTTGGGGGGGCGCTGGACAGGGACGTCGCCGGACTGACGTGCCCGGATGCGCCCTACGGTAGGTGGCGCGGGCTCGGCGGCTTCTTGCTTGCTGAAGTAGGATCCCATATTGCGTGTGGAGGTCAAGAGGAAAGCGGACGATGACTTCAACTATTGGGTTCTAGTTGAACTGTAGCGCTACGATGTCCGGTTGCCCCAGGACTTCTACCCGAGGGATTTGTTCTGAAATGATGTTGGTGAGCAACTCGAAAGTGCACAACCTGAAACGTATGAGAGGTTCGACAAATGGGAGCATTAACCAAATTGCTCAAGGCCGGCGAAGAGATGATCACAAAACCGTGAATACTGTACATTGTACAGTATTCACGTTGTACAGTGCGGTACACGACGATAGAGGGCTGTTCGCCTTCTAGCGCGACGGTTGGACGCAGTATCGGGCGACAACTCTCCCTTCTCACAAAAATTGCCACGTGTACGTATGTGTTATGTGGAGGCACCGTCATGGCAGGATACCGCGCAAAAAGGTCTTCGACGAAGCAGCTTAGCTTGCCCGCTTGCGTCGGCTTATGTCTATTGTTGAGTTGTTCAAAAACGAGTCTTCATGCTACGAGCTTATGCCTTCAATAGAATTACGACCCATTATTAGGAAGGGCCTGTTACTGTGAGCATCTGCAATTCGGGGGCGTGGCAAAACGCGCCACGACGGGCCTCGTACTCGGTGAAATCGGTGAAAGCGCTACGCAGGCATGCGGAGGCACTGCGCTGACAGCCGCAACTGCATGGTGGCGCCGCGTGTGTGCGGGCGGTTCGTTGTGAATTGGGGTGTTTCCATTCGCGGCGAGGCCGGGTATAGCGGCGTTAGAATCACCGCGCGAGCAGTAGAGTGCGAGCGCCCGGGGGGAAGGCAGAATGAGGTGCAGGTATGCTGCGCCGCGAGGACAAGGACGACGCCGCGACGGTAGTTTTAGCTGCGCTGTCAGGCCTAGTGGTAAAGAGCCTGGCCAGCTTCTGCAGAGGTCGCCGAGACGGTGTGGTGCGGCTGAACAAGCTGCCAGAGTGAGGTCCAGTCTTAAGACAGTTTGGACGGGCTTGTTTTTGGACGGTCGCGGGCGTCTCATGTGCAAAACGGCTTCTCATTGGTCTATTTTCAACATTCCTTAACATGTACATGTCAATGCACTGCAGATTAATTTAACCCCCTGCATTACATCTCTGCCTTAACTGATGCCACGAAACAAAACTTAATTGGCTATCGCAGATCACGTAAATCTGAAGAAGATCCATTTCCAACCTCCAACTTTCAAATCATCACGGCGCGAAACTTGCAATCTTGGAGATACGAACTGTGCACCATTCTCCCGCCATAGGAGACCCTTTCATACCTCGGAGGGTAGTACCTGTTCTTCCTTGAAAGCAATCCTCATCCGAACATTTCGCCCTCTGCAACTTGCATCTCCCCACCAACGAGCCAAGCAACAAGCAAGAGCCGCCGAGCGACCCATATTATTCTCAACTTTGCTGGCCTCGACTACTGTTTTCACCCCACCTATTTTTGATCATCACCTTCCCCTCTGTCGTCTCTGCCTTTCTCTGCCTTTTCTGCACGCAGGATGACTACAAGCGGCCTCCCCCGACGCAGCCCCCGCCTTCTACGAGTGGATGCAAATCGCTATGATCCCGCTGCCTGCATCGACAGTCGTCGTTTGCGCTGTCATGAAAGCAGTGAGTCGGTATCCGTTCTCAGCTGCGCGGACATTCGTGAAAAGAATATCACGGACGCGCCAGATATCACACAGAGTCATCAAAACCACATGTCCGGGAGCGAAGTACTGCTTCGTTCAAGCGCAGAGACCTCTCAAGTGCCCAACGCAGTAGCATTTGGTCTGGGCAGATCGGCAAACGGTACGGAATGTGAAATGTTGAGAGCGGTAACGACCGGAGCTTCCGATCCTCGTGTGCAGGGGAGTTTCGAACCAGACAGCGAAACACCCTATGTCTCGAAAAGTCCGACAGTACCCCCGAAAAACTGGCCGGAGACATCCCTAATCTTACACTATTCTGATAGCGTGCGCGGGCGCAGCGACCAGACAACACCGCCACGCGACATTGATGAAATCTCCGGTGATCTCAGGGGCAGGGCTCAAGTGCCGAATAGAAATGCGAATGGGCATATTTCTGACAAAGAGGGCGGAGCTGGAGAGATGAGAATATCTGAAGCTGATGAAACCTATGCAGTTTACGGATTTCTCTGGACTTTGTCGGTCAAGGATTTGAGGCCAGTTCTTAAACACTGGGGTTGTAAGCAAGGAAAAAATAAGCTCGCTTACATATCAAGGGCCTTCTTATATTTAAAGACGGCGGTCTTGTCTGGTAAAACGTTACAAGCAACTTTACACACACATCCACAAACGGCACGATTTTCTGCCTGGCTTCAAAGAAAGCTTGAAAGGGATGAGCTCTCCCCTATGATGATCCGACGAGCGCCGCAAGAGTCAACTTTATTGCAAGAAGTCTCATTTGGAGAGGCAGCTGCGTATAAGCGACTTAAGCTGTCGCTAGAACGTGCAAGGTGTCGACGCAACTCAATTGAGAGGTCAGGGCGTACGCCGATAAATCAAGACCATCAAGGACAACGTGCACAAAATACAGAATCAGCAACTTATCCCTCGTACAGTCCATCTTCTCAGCCAGAACAAATTACCTATGAAATTCCCAGTGCAGGAGCCACCCCCCCCCCCCGTTCAGCATTAGCGAGTTTTCGCGCCTCTGTGTCGTTATGAGAGATGATGAACTTGCAAAGGCATTAGCAGGTACAGGACAAGAGCTCAGTAGAGCCCAGTTGGACACAGGTTTTACACGGGGACTCATACTGGGGAATTATAGAGTCACGCTTTAACTCTCAAATAAGGTTGAGATTGGATTTGGTTGGCAGAGTTGACGACGCAGATTCAACCTTTTTGCCGCCCCGTAATCGCTGTGTATCGTTTTTAAAGGATAAGTTTATGGAAAGCAGGGCGCAATTCACAGAAATTCTGCAGAAATAGAGAGCGTCTGGACAGAACGATCCCGATAACTTCAGAAACTTTCTCACCTATGGCGCGAATGGTCAGTTCAATGCGATTGGAAAAAGGTTGATGGTACTGTTTACTTGTACAAGACAAGGCACAGATCATGCCGACGAGAACTTTACGAACATGTGCACAAAGGTTATACCCCATGGAGGGGGATATGATGAAAGTGGCAGCGGCCAAAGGAATGGGGATGGATTCGCCAAAGGAAAGAAACGCAAACGCCGTTACACCGAGAGTGGGGAGTCTATGAAAACATCTTTCAAGCAGTTGGTTAATGTTGTGACAGATTCTCATCGAATGAGAGCGGAGTCACAGCGCATCATGGAAGAGAGAAGAGTTGAGAAGAGAGAGGAAGCTGGTTCCAGCAAAGAGCTGCGAGACTTAGAGGAGCAAGGAAAGCTCTTGCAGCTCTTTAGTTTCGCAAATGACACGTATGATCATGCTGCGGGAGGTTTGGAAGATGGTTTCAAGGCTACTGGAAACGCGATGTTGAAGGACGCGACGAAGGAATTTATGAAATTGTTAAGTTCAACGCTGCAGTCCAGGTCTCAAAAGAAATTTCATAGCGGTGGAATAGAGGGGAGTGATGGAGTTGCAGCTGCTGTGGGACCTGCAAAAGACAGCAATACGACTGGGTCTTTATCAATTGATGGTACTGTCTTAAGGAATGACGTGCCAACGGTGAAAACGGATCCCGTTCTTTCTCACCGTGAGTAAAGAAAGTACGCCTCCGGCAACAAGTTGTGGCCTCGATTTTCTGTAATCCTTGCGTTGTATGTTAACAGATAGGGTAATATAATCCGACAGCTGCACGGCCCCGCCCTTGTGCGCGAAGACCACTGCCCCGATGGCGCCGTTCGCGACGTACATGGTCGTCGACGCGGCTCGTGCCTCCCGCACGCGCCGCCCGCCGACGTCCTACGCAGTCACGCGCCGGTACATACGGCACAACACCATGAGGAACGCACGGCGATCCAAAGGGAGTCTTTATTCTTTGTGGAAGGGTCTCCGTCTTCTGCTGACCCGTGGGCAAAGACAAGGCTAAAGACTGCGAAGTCAGTTGCTACTATGGCTGATTACATCCGTCCGTGGAGTATATCAGATGCTCGAACCATATTTACGCTTTTGACTCTTGATGTCAACACCGAGCATGACCACGATTTGTTCATTTGTTCTGAACTAGTTGACGAGAAATCGTTAGAATTTTTGAGAGAACCATCACACCCCCGTACACATGGTGCAAGTCTGGGAGAGACGTCACGCCTGTAGGAGAGACTCAAGACCTGGGGTCGACTTTACTGGGGGCATGAGCGACGACGGTGTTAAGTACGGTGGGAGTGCTATGTACACGTGTAAGATACTACAAGGAGTGGAGGATGATTGGTGGCGGCATCAAGTGGAGAAAATTAAGATACGACAGTCGCCGCGCTTGATGGTGGTGTTGCGGTCATTTGGAGCGTGGAGAGTTGATGGTTGAAGATCGCCGGTTTGAGGCGCTTCGTGAGACAGTCAGCAGGGTTGTCTCGGGAAGGTATCTTCACAGGGGTGATACGTTTGCGGAGAACTTGCTCGTTGACGTAGTGGTACTTGACGTCTATGTGCTTTGATTTGGGAGTCGGATGTGCGGATTTGGCAGTTGTGATAGTGCCGGCGTTGTCGATGTGGAGGGAGGTTGGGACAGAGATGTTGAGGGCACGGAAGTCGTGAAGGAGATTCCGGAGGCAGTTTGTGTGTTGTGCGGCGTGGAAGGCTGCTACGTACTCCGCTTCCCATGTGGACGAGGCGACAAACTTTTGTCGTTTCGATTGCCAGGCTACGGGGCCGTGGCGCCAGAAGGCAACAAAACCGGATGTGGATCGGCGTGTG